AACGCAGGAATGCGTGGACGACTCCTTGTATGAATACAGAGCTTTTTGACTGGACGGTTCCAGAGAGTGTAGGTCGGGCGCCAACAGTCCTCAGAGGTAAGCGTGGTGAGTAGCGTTCCACAGGACTCATGAATGGCTGCGTCAAGGACCTAAACTGTGATGCCATCCTGTTTGCTGAAGATATAAAGTTGTGGAAATTTATTTGCAATGCGACAGATGGAGACTGCCTGCAAACAAACTTGAACAGGCTCGAGGACTCGTCGAAGAGCTGGTTTACAGTGAGTAACCGATCTCATAAATGTTGACCGAAATTCGGAAATGCGTTTCCGGCTAGGAAGGATTACTTAGGTACGGTTACAATATTGATTAACATGCGACATAATTTTATAATGTTTCGGACTCGCCAGAATGTCGGCTTTTGAGTGCACTCCTTTTCGACCCCCTGTAAAAACAACGCTCGGTAAGAAATGGCAACTTAAGTAACATGCATTTTTCACTCTGACTTTTGATGGTCTTATAAGTTCAAATATATTTTATAGAAAACATGCATACAAATATTCTTTCTTTTACTCCTTTGGTGGAGAATCACGTTATCTTTACATTGTATACCTGAAGGAAGGGTATATTTAGGTTTTGAAAAAGTTTCTCAATAGTCAAGTAAGTTAGAGGCTGATCGGCCGTCGTGTTAGCCTTCAGCGATTTCAGTTTACAAGATGCTTGCTTTCGGCTTAAGGAAAATCATATATTCCTCTATGCCTTTAAAAAGATACCATGCAGAGTTAATGAAATATTGCAGTGGATGCGGACTATATTCTACATTTCATGAGAAGCATTGGCAATCGGACATGTGCGATGCTTTATGAATGGACACAGCACGGTCTTAATAATCTCATAATTAGACACTTTTTCAAAACCTATTTATACTTCGAGCGCGGTTTCTGCAGGAGGTCGAAAAGGAGTGCACTCAAAAGCCGGCATCCTGACGAGTCCAAAACATTATAAAATTATGGCGCATGTTAATAAATATTGTACCCGTACCTTAGTAATCCTTCCTAGTCGGAAACGCATTTCCGAATTTCGGTCAACATTTCATGCGATCGGTTACTCACTGTATGTCGTTCAGTGTAGGTTAGTGCAAATTCCTTCAACTCGGCAGCTGCAGGGCCTTCAGTCACAGGGCTTACTTTCTTCACAGCATACCACTGCAACAAGTTGACGGTCAGAAGGACTTGGGTGTGTGGATTACATTTTCACTCAAACCAACACTGAAACGGGCGAAGGCGGCTAAGCCGACCATGGCAACATCACGACTCATAAGGCGAGTCTTTATGGAATTTGGCAAGGACAGCTTCTTCAAAATATTGTGTACATTCGTGCGGCATCATCTAGAATACGCCATACAGGTATGGAGACCTTGGACTGTCAAAGGCTATACCGTGTTAGAGAAGGTCCAGAGACGGGCGACAAAAATGAAAAAAGTCTAGGAGCAGACTGTCAACTCTCAATCTATTTCCACCTTCCTACAGGCAGCTACGCAGTGATCTTATACTAAACTTCCGCATTTTAAGCGGCCTAGACTGTTGTTTGGTTCTTAGCGATTATTTCAATCAAGCTAACTCGAACAATCTACGCGTTCATCCCCTAAAACTGCGCGCAGGGGAAGCTAGGATCAATGGACGAAAGTTCTTTTTGAGAAACAGAGTGGTTGCAGCGTTGAAAGCAGTGCATACTGATGTTGTACTCTCCACCGGTGTGATTTCATTTAATTGTAGACCCGAGCTGTATCAAGCATCGCAATTACCGAGAGGTCGAATACCGTTGCCGGCGATGCCCACCGTGTGCTCCGCAGCAACGCGGAGCAGGGACGGTGACTTTCGCGTGAAGTAGCTCAAGGTTGGGTAACCAAATAGTCGTCGACTGAGAGGCATTAATCATAAAGCACAAACACACTCCTCACATGCATGAGTGTCACAGATCACTTGAGAAGGGGCCGTGACAGCCTGTCTTTCAGCCCACCAGTCCGCCACTCCACACAACACACGACAACTGGGAAGACTGTGCGGACAGAGTTGGAGCGTCAGTCGTCGGCCTTCAGAGCCACGGCGCTCGACGCAGCGCCTAAGACTCCGATCACACATGCAGAATAGGAGCCGCATGGAGAAGGAGCCGACACGCACACTTCTCACTTGCATGGGAGGTGGCAGTTGGGTGTCGTTGCGGGGCGGTAAGCTGCTGGTGAGGGAGAATTTAGTGGTGTGATTTAGCCGGCAGTTTTCTATCGCAGGTTTTCGTGGACGCGTATGTAACTTAATAGACCCATGCGGTGAATCAATGTGCGAGTGTAATTTGGACAGTGGAAGCAGATGCGGCATGTGTAGGATGGTGCTCCAGGCACTGGTTCGCCAGTCTCTGTGCGATGGATTCGCAAGTGACTGACCAGGCCGATGCGTGCGGTGAATGTACGGGGACAGTGTGGACAGGAAATGACGGCGGTGTCAGTATCAACTTCGGTGGTGGTGGAGCTGGTGGCGGTGGGGACGCTGTGCGGCGGAGTGTTGGCGGGACTAGGCATGATAGGCGTGGTGGACATGCTAGGTGTGTCGGGGCTACGGTCAATTCCGCTCTCGTGGATACGCATGTGGCCAAATAGGCCCATATTGTACATAAGTGCGCGAGGTCAGTGTGGACAATGAAGGCGGATGCGGTGGGTACAGTTTGGTGCTTTAGACACTAGTTCGACAGCATTTGTGCGATGGATTCGCAAGTGACCAGCCAGGCCAATGTGTGAGGTGAAGATGCGGTCGCAATGAGGACAGGTATGGACCAGGTCCTCACCACTAGTGTCAACGGTGTGGCGTTGGTGTTTGTTGGTATGTAAGGATTGTGTGTAATGTTGACGGGAGTGGTAGGCGTCACAGCGGTAGACGCTGAGGCGGTGGTGGTGAAGAAGGAGGAGGAGGAGGATGGAAGTGGTGGTTCGGAAGGACGGTCAGAGTTAGTTAACGGCGTAGAAGGTGAGGGAGAGGTGGACGGAGAGATGATGGTTGGCGTAGACCGAGTGGTGCAGTTGGTCTGAAGGGGTCCAACACGTCCAACTGGCACTCAGAATGTCCGCTGACACCGTGGACACCTTGGGCGCGATTAGGCGTTGGCGCTGTGAGGTGAGCGCAGCTGAGATTTGCGTGCTTCTCGTTTGGCTTTCGCGGCGGTGATGCGGGTTGCCTCGTAGATCGCTCAACCTGTCATCACTGTCCTCCTCCAGGTCGGTTGGTTTCGGGCGAGGTCTCAACAGTTGGCCGGGCTGATCTGCGTAGGCTCTAGGGGAGTCTTCAGTGTGTCCTTGTATTGACGGATTTGGCTCCCTTGACGACGATAACCCGTGGCGACATCTCCATAGAAGACTCGTTTAAGTAGTCGCTCATTGTCCATCAGCACAAGATGGCCGGTCCAGCGTAGATGCAGTTGTGTAAGCATGGCGTAGGTGCTGAAGATTTCCGTCCGCTCCAGTACTCCGTGTCGGAGATCCGATCCTGCCACCTAAGCTTCAGCATCCGTCGAATAAAACTGAGGTGGAATTGGTTGAGTCTGCGTGCCTGCTTCATGTACACAGTCCAGATCTCCGCTCCATAAAGTAGTGTTGGTAGGATGACTGCCTTGTACACGTTCAGTTTCGTGCTGAGCTGAAGTCCGTGACGATGGCAGACGGTGTTCTACAGACGATTGAAGGCATGGCTGGCCTTGGAAATGCGGCGAGCAACTTCGTCGTCGATTTTGGTGGTGCTGGAGAAGGTGCTGCCCAGATACGCAAAGTTGTCCACCACTTGCATTTGTGTTCCGTTCACGCTGATATGCGGCACAATGCTGACAGCGTTGGGTGGCGGTTGGTGCATGACCACCGTCTTCTCCGTGTTGATGATCAGGCCGAAGTTCTTGCAGACAGCGGCGAAGATGTTCATACTCCTTTGCATGTCCTCCTCCAAGGTAATGTTGAGGACACAGTCATTGACGAAGAGAGGTTCGTGGACGGCGGTTGTGGATACACGCGACTGGAAGTGCATCCGTCTGTGGTTGAGGAGGTGGCCGTCAGTCCTGTAGGCGATGCGGACCCCGGGGCGTTCATCACGGTAGGCGTCTATCATCATGGCAGAGAACATGAGGCGGAAGAGGGTAGGCGCGAGGACGCAGTCCTGCTTCATTGCGTTGGTCACTGCGAATGCTTCTGACGCAGTTCTACTGTCCATGACGCGCCATTATGCCACCGTGGAGCTGACGCACCATGTACGTGAATCGCTCGGGACAGCCGAATTTCCGCATGATTTTCCACAGTTCCTCGCACTTTACCTTGTCGAATGCTTTCATCAAATCCACAAAGGTAGATAACAGACGGGTCCGCATGTCCTGAGACTTCTCCTGCAGTTGACAGGCGGCGGAGATCATGTCGGTGGTCCCACGATGACGGCGGAATACGCACCGACTTTCCGGCAGGAGAGCCTGCACCAGATGGTTGTTCAGGCGGTTGAGAAGGACGCGAAAGATTTTCCTGGCGAAGTTCAGTAGGGAGATGCCTCGATGATTGTCACAGAGCTGGCGATAACCTTTCCGCTTATAGAGATGGACGATTTTTGCGTCCTAAAAATCCTGCGGGACCTCTCCCTGACACCACATCTCCTGGGAGAGCGCAGTCAGGTGATCCATGAGTTGGGGGCCACCGCGCTTGTAGATCTCAGCAGGGATCGCGTGCAATCCGGAATTTTTCCCGCTGGAGAGCTGCTGCACGGTCCTGATGATTTTGTGGAGAGAGGGCGGCAGGTCGAGGCCGACGTTGGTCTCCAGTTGCAGTAGACGGGCGACGAAGACGGCGGCGTCGGGGATGGTGGAAAGACGGTTAAGGACGCCTCGGAAGTGCTCGGTCCATCGCCGTTGAATTTGTGTCTTTTCGCAGAGTAGGGCTCTTCCGTCGGCGCTGATAAGAAGTGTAGTACCTCTGGTGGGCGGACAGTAGACAGCTTTGATCGCGAATAAGAAGTTCTTCCATTCGTTGCGGTCTGCTTACCCTTGGATTTGACGTGAATAGTAATGTCCTCGCGAAGTAACGAGTTATATCTCACGAGCCCATGGCCTGGAAGACAGCAAGTAAAACTGAGCAATGAATAATATAAGAGTCTAAACGTTAAGTAACCTGACAACAGAGCGCGACAGCAAAGCAGGCCAGAAAGGGGGGTTGTACAGGTATGTTGTTTTTTCGTCACATTCAAACAAGCAATCCGGTCAAAGAAAATGGGACCAGATTGCCAAAGGTAAATTAGTCCGGTACCTCACCACAGTACCCCCATACTAGAACGGAGGACGACGGAAGATATGCATAAGCCTAGAAAAATGCGTAACTAAACGATCGGGGAAATGAACGTGACGGCCACCGCGAGTGATGAAAGCAGGAGGTACAGTCGAAGAGGGTTGACTGCGTGCTATGGCGGAGAATGATGTTGCGGTTGGATGCTGTAGACATGTAGGGAGGGGAAGTATGCGGGACGGAGGGGTAGAGGGCAAGGGAGGGGAAGGGCGAGGCAGTGGGCAGGGTGAATGAGCAGGGGATAGGGAAGATGGAGGAACAGGGGTTAAGGGGTCCGTAAATTTTTGTCCTTGTGACAGGCCCGGCGGCTCCTCTGCAACAGCAGCCTTGACCCGATCGACGTCCGCCACGTCTGCCCCGTCACCGCAAAGAATCCGGCAGGTTTTGGCGTTGCGTGCGAGCACTCGGAACGGTCCTTCGTATGGTGATTCCAGCGGCTGGCGCACACGGTCACACCGGACGAACACATGAGTACAATTTTCCAAGTCTTTTTCGACATAAGACTCAGTCATTGGAGTTCGAGGTGGAACCGGGGAAAGCGCGCGCATAAATTGCCGCAAACGGTGCACAAGGTCGTCAGGAGTCTTGTCGGCTCCACGAGAGGTTGGGGTGACCATTTCGCCTGGCAGTCGGAGGGTAGTGCCGAAAACCAATTCAGCCGCGCTACAGCCCAGATCCGACTTCAGAGCTGCGCGGATGCCGAGGAGTGCAAGAGGAAGGTTGTCCGACCAGTTTCCTGGATCTTCTACGGCACGCAGGGCGGTCTTTAGCTGGCGATGGAAACGCTCAACCATACCGTTGGCAGCTAGGTGGTAGGCTATCATCCGAATGCGTGTGCAGCCAAGGAAATTGAGTAGCGTTTGGAAGAGTGCCGACTCAAACTGGGCACCACGATCAGTCGTAACCGTGGATTGGGCACCGAACATGGCGGCCCAACGACTGACGAAGACCTTCGTGATGGTTTCAGCGTGCACATTCGGCAAAGGAATGGCTTCAGTCCAGCGGGTATATCGATCGACGCTGATAAGGAAGTGATTGAAACAATTGGATGGAGGCAAGGGGCCTAAGACATTCAGGTGCACATGGCTGAACCATGCGTCGGGACTGGGGAAAGTGCCTGGTGGGGACTTGTAGTGACGTTGCACCTTGTTGCGCTGGCAGATCAGACACGACCGGGCCTAAGCTTTGACGTCCATGTTCATGCCAAGTCAAACAAATCTTTCCGCGAGGAGTTTTTGAGAGGCTCGGATCCCAGAGTGGGAGAGCCCATGCAAATTTTGAAATACAGCTCGCCGCATCGAGGCGGGCTCGAAAGGGCGATGAAAAGGGGTCGAGATGTCACAAAGTATGGTACCAGAGCCGATGGTCAGAGGAACGCCTTTCAGTTGAAGACCACTAACAGACTCGTCGCCAGGACAACCGACTCGCTGTTGCTCAGCCACCATGGCGCAAGTATCGATCCCGAGTGAGAGTTGGAGGGAAGACAGTGAGGGCCTTGACAGCATATCAGCCACCTCATTCTTCGTGTCATCAATGTGGCGGATGTCGGTGGTGAATTGGGAGATGAAGTCCAGATGGGCGATTTCCCTCGGATTGCACTTGTCGTAGTGGGACCGAAGTGCAAAAGTCAACGGTTTGTGGTCCGTGAAAACAGTGAGGTCCCGACCTTCAAGGAAACGTCGGAAATGCTTCACAGCCAAGTAAATTGCAGGTAGCTCACGGCCAAAGGTACTGCAGCGTGTCTCAGCTGGTAAGAGATTTTTGGAGAAAAAGGCAAGTGGTCGAGCCGGACCAGCAAGGTGTTGTTGAAAGGCTGCACCTACGGCTACGGTCGAAGCATCTACCATCAGGGACAGCTGAGCTTCGGGAGCGGGATGCGTGAGTAAGGTGGCATCGGCAAGGAAATTCTTGATTCCCTCAAAGGCAGTCAGTGCTTCACCAGTCAGATCGAGGGGGCCTTTGGAATCAGAAAGCATGTTGGTGAGCGGCAGCATGAGGTAAGCACAGTTCGGTAGGAACCGACGGTAAAAACTAATCATGCCGAGGAATCGCTGCAACTGACGCTTGGAAGTTGATGGAGGGAAATTACGAACTGCTGCAACCTTGGAGGGGAGGGGACGTAAATCTTCAGAGTCGACCTGATGACCGGGGAACTCGAGCGAACACACACCCAGCACGCACTTGGAGGGGTTGATGACAACGCCAAACTTGTCAAGGCGGTCAAACGCCAAGACAGGATGCTCTTTGTGTTCTGCCTCATCCCGGTTGGCCACCAAGAGGTCATCAATGTAGGCGTACACAAAGGGTAGGCCACGTAAGACATGGTCAGTGAACCTCTGGAAGGTTTGGGCGGCATTGCGAAGACCGAACGGCATGCGGACGAACTCAAAGAGACCGAAGGGTGTGGTGACAACTATTTTAAGGATGTCCTCAGGGTCGACTGGAATCTGATGAAAAGCACGCACCACACCAATCTTCCAGAAAACCGCTTTGCCGCAAAGGGCTCCAGCAAAGTCCGATCAGGAATGGAATCGCTGTTGAGGGCACGATAGTCGCCACAGGGTCTCCAGTCACTTGATGTCGCCTTGGGCACCATGTGCAGTGGGGACGACCAAGGGCTCTCGGACGGTCGAATTATTCCCAGTTGCAGCATGTGTTCAAACTCCGCCTTCGCGGCCTAGAAACGCTCCGACGTTAGTCGTCTCGGCCGAGCAAACACAGGAGGACCTGAGGTGCGGATATGGTGCACAACATCATGTTGGACATCACCACTGCGAAACTGGGGGTTAATTTTGTTTGGGTGTCTAAGAGGCAGTTGCCGAAATGGGCTAGCAGTATTTGTATCCAAGACAGATAAGTTGGTGGGGCCAGTAAAGGGAGTTAGTCCAAGAACAAACAGACCGGTTGTGCGGTCGAGGAGACGGGCACATCGGCAGTCAACAAGGAGATCGAACTCGGCAAGAAAGTCCGAGCCAAGGATTGCATGAGGGACATCAGCAATCACAAATATCCAGTGGATGACTGACGAAGGCCAATGTTCAGGGTGAGAGACAGACTGCCAAAAGTGGGAATGGGGGAACAGTTGGCAGCTTGGAGGTGAAGACCAGGGCTAGGGAAACGATGGTCGGCTGCAGTTGGGGGAACAACGCTGATTTGGGCCCCAATATCTACCAGGAAACGTCTGTGAGTCGCAGTGTCGCAAACATAGAAGGTGCGACCAGAGCCGGAATAGCCAGAGAAAACGGTCGCGTCTATTCTCTGGCTGATTGGTTTCCCTATTTTGGCCTAAAAGAGCAGGGTGAGGAGGAGTGACTGGCCTTTACACCGAAATTAGTGTGATACGAACAAGTATCGATAGTCTGAGGTCGCGAACGGGAACGGCTGCTTCAGCGACTGGAAGTAAGGCGTGCGAGCTGTAATGTAAGGGAGGCCATCTCATCCGCCATGGCCGATACCTGCTTCATTAAATGCTCATTCACCATCGATGAGGATGTGGAGATCCGAGCAATGGAAGGTGACTGGAACCGCCGCACCTCTAACATCCGATCCGCCATTTCAGCCAGCTGTGAGACCGTGAGATCTTGAGAACCGGACTCCAGGATCGTTTGAACATCTGCAAGCAAACGCTCTAGAAACATTTTGACGAGTTTCTCGTTAAATTGCATGTCTTCAAGGACAGAACTCATTCGCTGTAGGAGTTCTGAGGGCTTCCGGTCACGCAGTGACTTCTCCTTAGGAAAATGGTGATACCGCTGTCGGTCAGACACAGAATTACGTCGACGAATTTCTGCCTTTAACGTGGAGTAGGGAGCATCTGCAGGAGGATTAGCTAACAAGGACTGAACTTGAGAGATAACATTAGCGGAGAGAACCTCCACAAGTTTGTGGTATTTCGTTAGCTCCCTAGTAACGTTAGTAGAATAAATGGCTGATTCTATACGGATAAAGTAAACTTCTGGAGGGTGTTGCCAGAAATCAGGCACGGTAAAATTGACGGCATGACGGGAATGGGCGGGGTATCAAGTTGTTGGTTGGAATGAGGCATAATAATCAAAACAGAGATGAGAAAATATCAGAATTTGCTAGAAAAGTAGACGTAAAAGGAATAGAAATTCATAAACAAATGGTACGTTAAATGTTATTCAGTATGACAGAGAAAGGTATAACGTCTGCGTTAACGTCGGGAGTCACCAATGACGTGAATATTAATGTGCTCACGAACTAGCGAGTTATATCTCACGAGCCCCTTGCTTTGAAGACAGCAAGTAAAACTGAGCAGTGAATAATATAGATATTCTGAACGTTAAGTAACCTGACAAAAGCGCGCGACAGCAAAGCAGGCCAGAAAGGCGGGTTGTACAGGTGTGTTGTTTTTCGTCACATTCAAACAAGCAATCCGGTCAAAGAAAATGGGACCAGATTACCAAAGGTAAATTAGTCCGGTACCTCACCACAGATCTCCTCGGCTAAGAGTCCTGTAGCTCCCGAAACCTCTGTTGTGCAAGGAGGCGACTACGGTAGAGCAGCTCTGTTGTCGTCGGTGGGGCGATCGACGTAGGCTTTGTGCAGGCGATTATTCTCGACAAGAAGGTTGCTGATGACGACGTCGTTGTCGTCGAACCGGTCCTGGTGTTGGCAGCGTGCGCGATCGAGGACGGCCAGAGCCGTCGACTGGACTCTCTCCCGCAGTTTAAACTATCGGTTCTCCACGGAGGCGCTCTCGTCAGCGACAGCAGCGAACCGAAGGTTGGCTAGCCGTTGAGTTAGTTCCTTGCTGAAATGGAGATTGTGAACAGGCAAAGACAACAAGGAAATATTCAGCTTACCTGGAGGTAGCTTCCCCTGTGGTCTCCTGTGAGGCTATAGGCGAATCCGCATCTTCGAGATGACGAGGCGGTGGTCGGCGCACCCGTCAGCACCCGGAATCGCCTTTGTCAACAGCACGTCCTATGGACGAGGACATTGTCCAGTAGGTGTCAGTGTCGCGACCAAGGGTACATCCAGGTGGTCTTCTCTCACATCTAGAGGCGGAAGAAAGTGTTGGTCAAGATAAGCCGGTGTTCTGCGCATGTCTGTAGGAGGAGCAGGTAATTGTCATTGGAGCCTTTGAGACCATGGGGACCTAGCGCGCCTCGCCAGGCAATATGACCTCTGCCGACGCGGGCGTTGAAGTCGCCAAGGACAATAAACTTATCCGCGTTCGGCATAGACGACAGGAGGGCGCGCAGGTCCACGTAGAATATGTCCCTTGCGGCGTCAGGGCTGGTCGTCGGCGGAGCGTACACGCGGATGATGGTGAAGAATTTGCCCCCACTCCGGAGAGGCAGACGGAGGCTCATCAGGCGATCATTTATGCCCTGCGGCAGACGGGGCAGCCGTCCCCCGATGTCGTTCCGGATGGCGAGGGCGACACCCGCGTCTCGTCGCTCCGCCCTGGGGCGACCGCTTCAGAAGGTGTGGCCGGCCCCCACCTCCTCCAGTTGATCTTGTTCGGATAAGCGGGTCTGGCTGAGTGCAGCGATGTCCACGCTGTAGCGCGCCAGTTCCTGAGCCACTAGCGCCATCCTCCGTTCCGGTCGGTTGCTCCTCGGATTTTCTAAAATGAAACGAACATTCCAGGCTGCTAGAGTGAGGGGGCTCGCCCTACCAGTGGGGTGGCGGGAAGAAGGAGGATAAGAAGGAGAAGAAGAAACAGGTGTGGAGGAAGAATAAGAAAACTAAGGAAGAGAACGAGTGTTGTTGTTGTTTTTTGTTGGATGTTTCGACCGTGAGTTTAACGTCTGCGACCACGGTCAGCCTGCAGACGGCGTGGTTCCCCAGCATTTGTTTAGAACACCTCTTCTGGCCGATTCCTCTCACGGGTGTGAGTAGTCTCACCCTAAATAGGACCGCTCAGTTATGCCAGGTGCTGTCGAACTCCAATATGAGCCACGTCTTTTATGAAATCAAGGAACGACCCGAGTTAGCCTGGAGAGCCTATCACATTGCCGTAAGCTTGTGCCCTCCTGCGGTGTACCTGACGGAGCCTCGTCTCGACGATGCCAATGCAAAGATCCATTCGGCCGGCATAGCCGGGATTACCGTGTGCGGATGTGCACACTCGGATACCCTCACCTGGTTTAGCCCACCAGTCGAGATGGTTACCGGGATATGGCTGCTAGGCAGAGCCTAGTTTCGGAGAGCCATAGGTGAGAATTGGGTGACAGCAAATGGACGCTAGGCGTAGTCTGCAGCTACAAGCAAGTGAGCGACCTACTACGACCTCCCTCGTCTGCCGCAAAGATTGTGGTGGCCTAAAAACCAAAGTGTTCAGGAAAGCGACAAATACGACGCAAATACTGAACTTCATCAGCAACCACCCGACCGGTCACAAACGCAGTTGCGTAAGGACGCTATACCGGCGCGTAGAGGCGCACTGCAGTGAAATGGAAGACAAAGGTGATGAATTAAAATATCTTCGACGGGTACTGAGAGCCAATTGCTGCCCGATCAACTTTTTCAACCAATGCATACGAAGACGACACCAGAGACCATGTCCAACCGGTCCCAAATTTTGGCGGGCTCTTCTGTGCGTGAAGAACGTCTCGGACGCCGTCCATCGTCTTCTTACTCCAATTGGAGTTAGGGTGGCACACCGGCCAGAAGCAACCATTAGGAGCCAAGTCATGAGGCCGAAAGACCCACTGCCACGGCGGGAAACGTCAGGAGTCATTTACCAGATCTGGGGCAATTGCGGACAAAGCAACTACGTCGGAGAAACTGGGAGATTACTCCGGATGCGAATAGCCGAGTACACAGCAGCAGTTAGGTGGGGAGACGTTAGCTCTCAGGTGGCGGCTCCGTTGACGGGATCCGGCCATAGTTTCAAGTTTCAAGAGGCCGAAATCCTCGCAAGGGGTGACAACCGCGTGAGCCGCGGGTTGCTCGAGTAATGGTTCTCAGGCCCGTAATCCAACAACAAGCGCAATGACCTCCCGTTACCATAGTCCGTGCTGTGACTACCCCTGGGCAGGGGAATCAGTCACGTGAGTGGGGGGAGGGCGGACAATTATTCCAATGGCAGTCTGCCAATTTGCCGGCCAAAAGTCACACCAGCATCTAACACGGATGACGAAATCACGGTAATTAATGACTCGGACGCGGGCTGACAAGTCACCCTCACTTGAATCACATAGATGTCCTAAAATTTCTTATCATTGTAACCATTTCTACAACCTAAGACCAAACTCTTAATTATAAATTTTGAAACGGACACAACTTTCAATAAAATGCACAGAAACAAGGTACACAGGCATGCAACAGAACCTAAGAAGTTGTCTTTCAGATGACGGAAGTCCCCCAGGCAGCTCAGAAAAGTCTCATTCCAGAGTCAACCCTGTGGTGCTTCCGAAGCTTCTTGAGATAGTGTTGTATGCAAATGAGCACTTCAGACTCATTTAGGTAATTCCTTCTAATCAAACCCATATTTCAAAACTTCAGTCAAAGTTTCATGAGTTTTATCACCTAACTTGGAATTATATATATTTTTTACCTTCTTCACTGGTTTCTGAAATTACTGGAGGCGTCGTCCAATATTAGTGGAGTTCCGCTCATAGCTGTTTGGCGCAGCATCTGTCGCAGATCAAGCAATCGACCCACAAAAACTGGGCCTGTGCGGTACACTGGTGCAACGTGTGGACTACGCAATGCCTATAAGTCGGACGCACATGCATAAAGCTGAGTAACAATAGTCACTGGAGAGCACACTATCAGCCATCGTGATTGCGTAATCACTTCAGTTGCCGTGGTGATGAGCGCAGAAGACTAGTGTGATAATATGGCGATCTCTGAAAGCGGACAAAGCTCATGGCATTTAACAATCCCACTCAGGCAAAGTTCTCATCTCAACAACTCCTAGTGGCTTAAAATACCGAGCCGGCAATGGACATAAAAGTAAAGTTTATACTATACGATCATACAATAGCGACCACCATGAAAGGGGTGTAGGAATTTGTTGATGGTGAGGCATATTTGCCAAGCATCTATGTGGCTCCATCTTTCCACCGTTTTCCGACGGGGAGACAGAGTCAAGATAAGTGGGGGTGAGTGTGAGCTTAGTGGCAGGAAATTTCAGACCGGTCTTTTGTGCTTTCACACAAGACCTGCTTCCAACTACCCATGTACCAGGCTGCGCCAAAGGACATGCGTACGTGAGATCAACGTATTCTCACTTGCGGTATTTCATTTGTCATGATGGCGCTGACATCTTTTGTCGAATAGGTTTTATATGAGTGTTTTGTGGCCTGCTATTCATAGCGGTCGAAGCTCGCAAGTATAGTGGCCCAAAATTCATGGAAAAGTTACCTTGTGAAACCTTGTGATGTGGCTACAAGGACCCATTCTCCAAGACTTTAGAGATGCCACCATCATGCTCATGCAAAACGCAAGGGGAATTTGCAACGTCGTGAAAATTATGGAAAATTCGTCAGGGTTTTACTCAATCTAATGGATACGCATACAGAGCAAGGAATTCTTCCAGGAAAGCAGCACGCACCCCGAAAACACCGCGAAACCAAGGACATTGTCTTTGCTGTCCACGACAGGATGAGGAACCGCATCACAGAAAATGACGAAAGGCCAGAGGCATTCGGGAGGAAATTGAGGCGAAGCAGGACTACGTAGACGCTCCCCTTTCATTTAGACTCGGACTCTCGCCCGTACTGTTGGACGTCTAACGTGAGGAGCGGCTGCGAATCAACATCAATTATCTCCCGACATCCGTTGTATGACAGCATCTTTGAGAGTAATCAGGCCAGGGTCCACGACCTATTAATAGCAGATCACTGTGTGCTTGTTTCGTCTAATGTCAGCAGTCTGAGAGCTGTGAGGAATAGTTTATTCTGTACACAGGGCAGGTTGCCCTAAGTTGGCTGTTTGCTTACAACAGAGAGAAGCGTCCGTTCACGGAGAGCGTCAGTCGCGGTGTGTCGTTTACGCGGGGATGAACGTCTGTGTCAGTAGGTGGGGGTGACTGGTTGAGTGCTGGTCATGAGATTGGACGTATTAGGGGGACTCATAACCAGGGGGGCTCACGGGTATCAAGCCAGGTCATCCGACGCGCGTGCGGTGATACTAGTTTGTTAGGGCAGCCGGGCAGCTGGACAGGAGGGGCCCCAGTTCTAGGAGGCGAGGGTGGTCATGTGTCAGCGGCCTGGCAACGATTGTCGCGGCCATCGACCGACAAAACGCAGCCGGAGAAAAGGGGGACTGGAGCGGCCGCTACATGCGAAACATTAAAACGGGTGTGCACAAACTCGCGTATCTTGGGTGTACAACTGCACGAAACACCACGATTGACAACGAAGTCGAACTCATGATTTCAAAATAAAGCGACTTCCTTTCTCTTTCTCTCTCTCTTCCTCTCTCTCTCTCTCTCTCTCTCTCTCTCTCTTTTCTCAAGCCATAAATCCGATTTTCGAAACCAGCCAGAGCTTCGGTCGGCTAAAGCATTCCGCCCAGATTGGCCGTGGCATTTACTACAAAACTGAGGATGCATGGGGCTGTTGTTCTGACAGCGCTCTTTTGCTCAACGGAAACGCGGACTGTCCAATCAAGAAGACTCAGCCAACTTCGCCTGAATTGCCTCTGAGGGATGCTGAAGATGAAGTAGCAGGAGAGGATCCCGAGCACTGAGATGCTTGGAAGAACCGACACCTTCGGCATTCATGCTCTGTCGGCGCAGATACAACAGCAATGGTGTGGTCACCTCATAAGGATGGCCGACGAGGTCCTGTCCAAACGTCTGTCATACTGCGGCGTCGCTACGACGAAGCAGGAGAAAATATCCATGTAGTGACACTTTGGAGGCACCCTCAAGTACCTGCAACTCAAACCGGAGACCTGTCAAGAACTCGTTGAACATCTGTAGACGTGAAGCACCGTAGTGAAGACTGTAGCAGCATCTTCGAATTCAACCAGATAACCGTTGCCAGGATCATGAGAAAGAACCAATGGCTCGAATGCTACGGTCAGGTGGTGAAAAAACGCAACACCTGCCATCGTTTTCCCACCGCTAACGGCACAGACTGGCCTCGTTGGGCATATCCGGATATGGTGCAATGTCGGCCCAACCACTCTGTCCCCAACTCACCAGACACCACCACCAGCATTAGTATGAAAAGTGAGGGCATTGCTGGCATTGTCACATCCACGAACAATGTAGACTGACCTTCAGCTTGTTTCCACTACGATCAAACTTCTGATTCAGGCTTATTTGCCTGTACGACCAGTTACGAATTCACAGCACAGGGTAGCCCCGATATTCATGTCCCACAAGTCAACACTGTCCAACAATATGCAGACCCCACGTCGATATTTTCAGCCGTATTCGCATAAGCAGAAAATCCACAGCAAACCAGCACAGATTGGACCATCACACAATACTTGACCCCACTTTCACAGGCAAGCGAAATTTCGCCGAACATAATATTGCTCGGTCGAACTCGTGTGCAGGACACTTCTCTGACAGTTCAACCGTCGCGGGAGAGGACGTCCAGCTTGTGCCACACAGAGTGGGCGTATCAACGGTGGCCTGTTTTATGATGAGGCGGACACGCGCAGCAGCTGCTACACTCCCTTCCACTCACCCACCTGACTCCTATGGCAGGACAGTGTCAGGATGATTCGAAGTGGGTTCGAGCGCAGTGGATGGCAGATTCCAACGGCCCGTCCACGCACGACATGCACGATCTGGTCCCCTGCAAATTCTAGGGCGCTTTCGCGAGGATGACTCAGATCTCACCTCCGGGATAGTGCATCAAGCAGTACTGACCATGAGGACCGAGGTATCCAGTTGCTTGTCAACCTTATAGGTCGTTATAGGTTTAAGGCCGGCAGATTTATTATAGTGAGGGATGCGCTGATTTGCCTTGGGGATGGATTTCCCCATCGTCGACCTCGATCTCTCTCTCCTCTCCCATTCACCAATCGACAGTCCGAGTCTGACAATCAGTTAGTGATGAAGTTGGGCTCAGTAGCTGACAGAGTCGGACAGCCCGTTTATGTGTGTCACACACGACCAGGATACATCAATGAACATGCTTCACACTTAAGTGAGATGTGCATGTTCCGACGTGTGACATTGCGGCTGTCATGCCGGTGATGGCGGAGCTGATCACATGCTTGATGTGGAGAAAAGGCAGGATTGCAACGGGGCATGACGTGTGGGGTGAAGTGAGTTCATGTGTAGCCCAAAGATGAGTGTTTGGGCGGCTGGGGCAAGGAGTATTAATGGGGTCTGAAAAACAGTTTTATTAAAGGCTTGCACGGATGCGTATATGGGCAAATGAACGCTTGCGATCATCGAATGTCCTCGAGTAGGGTGGACAGGCGAGTCATGTGAGACAAGTGCATGTCCGGGCTCTAGATACTGGTTCGACGGTCACAGCCCGATGTATGCGCAAGTGCCAGATTAGGCCGTCACATGCAGCGGAGGTGAGGACAAGACGGGACTGGTGGCAAAAAAGAGTTCAGGTCTTGTAGGTGGGTTTGGCATGATGACACTACGGCGACATTTGCTTTCATGGACACACACATGGCCGATTGGACCCATGCGATGTCTGAATGTCCTGGGGCATTTTAAGAAATGAAGACGTGTGTGACGTGTGTATGTCGGTTCTGCAGATATTGTTTCGCTGAGTTCAGTGCGTCATGAGGAAGTTTGATCGCAGTGCGGAAAGGTTGAAACTAAGTCCACATTGTTGGTGGTAGGGACAGTGGCGATAATGCTTTGCAGGACGGTAGGAGTGTCCTCATCGGTGTTGCCAGGGGTCATAGTGGTAATTGCAGTGTGTTTTGAGATGAGAGACGGGTTGACTGATTGTTATCTCATCAGGCCCGGAGATTTCCAACAAGGTTGATCGGTGTTGGGATGGCCGTTGAGTGTGGAAACGATAGCAGGACTTTGCTGGTTTCGTCGTTGGCCAGTAACGCATGAGTCCCGCAGACCTCAGCCTTTTCCTTGACAAAGGCTATTTGCTCCTCGCAGATAGCGTGATGAGTGCAGACACGGACATAAAAATCAGTAAGTACGATTAATCTGTCTGACTTCGGTCCTTTCACTAGGAGGGCGTGGAAATCCTCGTCGAATTTATCGTGCTCGTTGTCGGAGCTCGTCGTTGGAGGAGGTGGAGGCGCTGCGGGGTGGCAAATTTGCTCATGCGGGTGTCAACCTTATGGTCATGAGATGACCGCTGGTGACCCGTGGGAGTCAGGACAAGCGTCTCACGTCGCTCTTAACGGCAAAGTGGACTACGACGTTACATCGTTTCTTCTTTGGACGTCCGATCAGGTAGAATGTTTACCCAACACCCGGCTCGATGAAAGCCTCGGCGCCCATGTTGTAGTGGATCAGGTCTCAGTTGAACAGAGCTGTCCTCCTTTTCGGACGATTTACCACTGGATTGTGTGAAGGATGGTGAACATTCCAGGCTCAGGCTTTCTGTGGTGAGTTCGGGGATAGGTACGTGGGTTGTTGTTGCTTTGGGTATTGTTTCAGCCGTAGATTTTCCTTCCGCAAGTCAAATTGGACTTGTTTAAAGCACCTTTTGTGGTCCCTTTCCTCGCGAGAAGACAAACAATGCTACCTCTACTTGAGACTGCTAAATCACCCCAGGCGACTTCCGAATTTCAATGTGGATCCCGGCTCGAATCGGCCTGTGCAACCTAACGGGATCGTATGTCACCCATTGTGTAGGGTGAGTGGATGAGATTTAGTTTGGGGACTACCGGGAAGGAGGACAGACGCCGAACTCCCTCATCTGGTTTAGCTAACCAGTCAACGGCATGTTTCGGGATGTGGCAGCCGTGCTAGGCACGGTTTATGAGCTGCAGATAAAAACTGGGTGCCGGAACGGGGCGAACTAGAAGTCTGGCTCATCAGGTTCACTGATGCGTTTTGCATGAGCCGTTAGTATATTGCTAATGAGAATTTGCTATCGCTGTGGCCGTGTCTGCGCTTAAAAGCCCAGGCGCTTTCGCGTTCGTTACCTCTCTATTAGGCAGGGCAGCTTTCTTGGTACAGTAGATATGCTAGTTCATGAAGTGTTGACTGGAATTCTAAGACGTGTTTTCAATCCGTAAAGATTACTTAAGTTAGGTTGCCATATTAATCATCGTGTCGGAAAATCTTAAGATATTCAGTTGCGTTAGGATGTCGGCTTTCGAACGAGCCTCTTGTCGACGGCCTGTGAAAAAGACATCGCGTAAAATGACTACTTAAGTAGTATGATGTTTCCCACTGATTTTCGATGCCTTCACTAGTTCAACTATATTTTAGAGAGAACATGCTCAAAAAATATTCTAAGTCATTTGATGGCAAATCTGGTCTTCTTCAAATTTTATGCTTAAAGAAGGAGTGGTTTTCGGTTTTAAAAAAACTTTAAGTTCCTGAATAGTTGTGAAACCGACCAGGCGTAACACTTGCCTTCCAAACTACAAGCTGTATGCTTGCCGTGTAGTGAAGATCATAGGTTTCTATTTACCTTTTAAGAAGAAGACATACAGGACTCATAAAATTTTGCAATGGATATGGACCATGTCATCCACTTTGCAAACAGGATTAGTAAATATGCTGATGCGGTGGTGTACCATTGGGCATTTCACGGTTTTGAAAAATCCCATAAATATGAACTTTTTCTAAAACCGAAAGACACTCCATCTTGAGACATGAAACTTGAAGGAGACGCAATTTTCTACCAAAATGAGTAAAAGAAAGAATATTTCTGTGCATGTTTTTTTATGGAATGCGGTTGAACATATAAAGGTATCACTAATCAATGGGAAAATGCCCACTACTTAAGTAGTTTCTTCTCGCGGAATACAGTTCATGCATGAGGTCAATAAGAAGCTCGTTCGAAAGCCGGCATCCTAACGTGAATGGAGTACTGTGGTATTATGCCACAAGATAATTAATATGACAACCCTACTTACGCAACGTTTTCGGATTGAAAACGCACTTCAGAATTTCAGTCAACATTTCATGCAATAGCATATTTCGTCGGGCAATGCTCATCCAAAGGCGCCGACAAGCTTTGAATAAGAGTAAAGCTGCAACGTGGTCTCAATGCTTACTATTCGGCATTTCCCTTTTCTAAACTATTAAGGTTACTGAAAATGTCCGTATTCTTTGACGTGCTTTCCTTCGTTGAATTCCAGGAAAATGAAAACAAGCACCAGGGGATATCTCTATATACAAAATTCTGGCGTGCCACCCTAAGGAGTACCCTCTCTACATTGCAGCTTAGCAAGCAAGTATGCAGCTTACAGGGATATAGACCACATTTCCGTTGGCCGATCTTTGGGTTGATTTCATTCGAGGCCCGTTGTAAGCCTACATCATATCGGTATCCCGAGCAGTCTTTAAGTTAACTTTGGTTAGAGAGATGTGCAAAGTACAGGTGACCTAACGCACGAAACATGCAAAAACAAAAGAAAAATCACTAATCTATCGGAAACCAAACAAAATACACCCACAAAACACCAAACTAATAATGAACGACCTCCAGTTAAGAGTGAATCCCAAAGCACTGGTTCTCTGTTTTATCGGTAATGATTTTTATAACCTTCCGCTGGCAGTTACAGGGAAGTATAAAACTCCCTCCAAAACGGACATCTCTCTTCGCGGACGGTGGAAC